ATGTTTAATTGGTTGTATATAATATGTATTTTTTTTAATATGTTTTTTTTTATATACGGCATCCTGAGGACAAAATAGATTATGATTCGTCGTAACTAAAAATGTAGCTTTTGCATCACCATGGAGGTAAAAAATATGTATTACCTCCATGACACTACTAGTATTCATTTTCACTGTTAGTGTTACTGTACGTACAAACACAATCAGCGCGCATGCGTATTAGAAAATATTAGTGTTTCATCGAGCTGTTATTATATGCATATAGTAAATCATAATGTATTCAACAAAGTATTCATAAATATATGGTATTTATAGATATTGTATTCAAGATATTCAACCCAATAAATAAAGACAACAATTTCATATTCATCAGTTCAAATTTTTCCAGTACCGGCGTACTATTTGTTTGGTGAAACACTGCCTAAATGCAAAAACTGACATTTCGGAATAATTTTAAAGGGAACCATGTTAAAGGGCAGTGGTCGTCGCGCAGTGCATGTTCGAATTTCATGTAAATAAACAATGTATTTTACACGCGTTGTATACGTCGTTATGAGTCCCATATCGAACAGGATGCGGCGCGACGACTGCCGCCCTTTAAAGCTTTTTATTGTATATTTCATAAAAATAGTAATCATCAGAATGATCTAATATTTCTTGTCTACTATACTTACCCATATCTTATTCTTGTGCGGATATCAGGGCATTTTCACCGCCTGTCATGGTAAAAACAAAGGCCGAAACTAAACTCTCAGAAAACTGCACTTCAGAAAACTCTCCTGAACAGTGTAACCAGACACGGTTACCAGAAGAACAAGATTACCACTACATGTGCAACATATATACATTGTGTTGCTCAGGATTACTTCAAGGTTGACTTCAAGCTATTTCCACCGCCTTTTTAGACTGGCGTTCCACAACAGATCCCATAGAAACCCACGGTACAATGGTTGCCGTCATCTTATCAATTATTTCCTTCATTGCCAACCAACAACCTCAAGTCTGTAAAATAATTTACAATTACAATGTAAAGGGTGGTAGTCGTCTCGCTGCGCATGTGCGACATTTATGTTGATAAACATTGATTTTCCCACAATCCAATGCGCTCTTCTAATTGAAATCACAGGTATGAGGTTTGATCTGGACGTGACTTGCACTGATTACCGTCGGTGACTCCTTCGACACCTTCAAATCACCTGAAAATACCTAATTAAAACTTGGAAACATGTCAGTTTGTACTTGTTGATCTGCGCAATAGTCAAAGTCGCCATCTTTGTTTATATGAGACACATATAACTCGCGCATGCGTGGCGCGACGACTACCGCCCTTTAATTACCAAAAAACATATAAGCGGCGTATATTGCTCATAATTGAATTATTGTATTTTTATTTTCAACAAGTTTCATATTTACACAAGGAGAAAAAGTCCATTTTTAAATACAAGCAAAAATTGGACAAACGCATGGAGCTCCATGATCCAAGTTATGAGTAACCGGAAAGTCAAAATACCAAAAGCTTATTGTGGGAAAATATTTACCAACAACATGCTATGAAGTCGTGTAACGATGAAGTTGTGTTTTTACAGCAGAAACCAAAATAGAAAAACAAAAATAACCCGCAAGGTTAAAATATTTACCTAAATGAATTTAACCCGACCCAGTTGCACATAATGATGGTGAATTCAGTTTGAAACACTGTACGATTTGAATGAACTGTTGCCAATTGCATGCTCGTATAATTTATGTTGACGAGAGCGTCACGAACATGACAGCTTTGCTGTTAGTGACCCCGTTAATTTGCCAGCCTTGGTGTGCGCGGACGGACATACTCGGTAATAATTGAAGGAAAAATCGAAGTGATATCTGGGGTTGGTTTGAAAAATTTTCCAGGTAGCACATGCTTTACTTAGTACACAAGAATTAGCTTCCTGGCTATTTCAAAGAAAATCTCTATTGTCCTTGGGTATTATTTTTTTGTTACTTTCAATTCGTTTGTCAAATGTCAGATCTAGTATACGAAGGTGTGCGCCGATTTTCACGATGTTCATTACGTCAAAAAAAAACCTTTGAAAATGTAATTATTATAATCCCTTCACAAAAATAAAAAAAAAAAAAAAATGTGCATTTCGTATTAGAAATAAATAGAACACAAAATGTGTCGACGCCGGAACTTCGGAAATCACGTGATCGCAATTGAATGAGGCTGACTCACTGTATTTTAACACACGCAACTCATAGAATTATAACGTGTTATGTAACTACTACCTACGACAACAGAAACAATTAATATGCGCATTATAAAAATGTAAAAATAGAAAGAAAAAAATTCCGGTCGAATTTATCCAGATATTTTTGTTGTTGGTAAAATTGTCGATATATTGAATGGTCACGTGATGTATCCCGGATGAAAGAAAATTCTGATAAAGATCGTCACGGTGCTCATTTGTAAGTGTTTTGTGCAGGTACCATGTTCTATGCCAGCGCGTTCTAATTGGGTAGATGTTATTCACTCCCTGTGATGGGCTTCCGTCCGTCACGTGATAGATGACAAAAAATAGTCAATTTTTCATAACACAGTGTAACACTACAAACCTCCAGAGGTCGATTTTCCGTCATTAGTTAAAGCGGGAGGGTCGACACCTGCGCACGCGCGGGAATTGAGTCCCAAGCGACGATAACAACACACGCTAAAACGCAAAGGCTCATGGCAAGACGCTTGTTTGTAAATAATGACACGCTATGGCCATATGACGCATGCGCAGATGACGACTCCCCCGCTTTAAGGATTATAGGTACCTGCCTAATCTCGGCGGGGTTTATTTTTCATGCTAGCAGCGATTGTAGATCACATGGCAGTTGAAGTCAACGGAGCGATGTAACTTTAAATTGTTTCAAAATGTATTTTACAGGTCTATAATGTTGGACCGACTAATTTTGGAGGAAAGAGGTGAAATTGAATATGTTATCCTCCTCTCCGGCGAGATAATTCATTAACACCCTCCAGATATTTTTTCTTTGCCCGCTTCTACATATTTTGAGGGATCGGGTTCCTTCCCACATCTTTTTTTTTTTTTTTTTTTTTTTTTGGTCAGTTTTCCCCTACTTTGTGAAATATTCCTGTGAATTTTCCCTTCTGCCACCAAATTCTGCCACCAAATGTTTTCTGTCCTACCCAAACATGCGTCATAACAAATTCTAGGATTAAAGATAACCCACCCTCTACAGTTTTACAATGCTCACTATTTGCATTCATGCCAATTACAGGTCTATATACTAGTAGATCATGATTACGTCATCTCGGAAACGTTGTCATGGATATACTCTTAGTATGTGGATAATCATTCGATCGATTTTAAGCATTTTCGTTTTAATGTATTAAATTTGTCTATTGTTTGAAGTATTTGGTCTATAATTTCTGACATTTGATATTTTGGTGTCTATTACTTGTATGTACCTCTATTGTTAGATTTCCGATAACAGTTACTGTTTCTATGGTATCCTCATTATTTTGTGATTTGTAATATGTTTCGCCGTGCACGCGATGTTTATTTGCGGACAAATGATATTATTTAGGTTCAGAGCTGCTCAGCTGAAGTAGACCGGTATGACCACAGTCCCTGAATGATGGACTGTGATATGACCAAGATCTTCTGACTGTCGGACAGTCTTTCTGGCTTAGTGCTATTTTAATGATTCAATGTAATGCCACAACGCATTTGCGAAATGCCATCGACAGTCGATTTGGGCCGCATATATATTTTTTAATTAAACGTTTTTCGTTGATGAATATGAAGATATCTTTTAAAATATGGTCGTGTGGCAACCTGTAGATATTAGTCACCATAACAAAAAAAATAAAAAAAGTTCCATTGATCAATTAACAAAAAATGTTATTTATATAATACTATTGATTAGCAATCGCTGGCTTCGCCTAAGCGAAATTTGTTTACGCAGCGGTGAAGAAAATTACTGAGTCGGCGCGGAAGGTACTTACATATACATAAGCATGTCGCTAAGAGCCAACGTACCTAGCTGATTAAGAGAATGTGAACGACAAACAGTTGGTACGCAATCTCATCAGCTCCTAGTGCTGCTGCTGTTTTTTTAACAGACAAAATACCGGAAACTACTGTCAAAAGATTAATTAATCCACTGGGTTTTAATTTTGCTTATGATTTCGCTGACAGAAAAATGTGCTAAATTAGAACCCAGTGAATATGTAAAATTAAGCATAGAACACATTATCTAAATGATAAAACCGTGAATTTAAAACCCACTGAATATGCCTGAAATGCTAAATCAGCGAGGAGACCTAGTAAAAATTACTAGTAGTTATTTTACTGTACCATCTGCAACGCGTTTTTCAAAGAGACCGGTGGCGGCGCTGTTAATCATGAAATTTAACAACAGGGTGAAGAGGACGCTGTTCTTTTCATATTTGCATATATGTTAACTGATCCAAGTCTTCGTATTCATACTTTGATTCAAAATT